AGTAACAGCCGGGTTAGTCTGTATTCGCAAAAAGAAAAGGAGTACTTGTGGCACCTTAGAGACTAACCAATTTATTTGAGCATAAGCTTTCGTGAGCTACAGCTCACTTCATCGGATGCATACTGTGGAAAGTATAGAAGATCTTTTTATACACACAAAGCATGAAAAAATGGATGTTTACCACTACAAAAGGTTTTCTCTCCCCCCACCCCACTCTCCTGCTGGTAATAGCTTATCTAAAGTGATCACTCTCCTTACAATGTGTATGATAATCAAGGTGGGCCATTTCCAGCACAAATCCAGGGTTTAACAAGAACTTCTGAGGGGGCGGGGGGTAGGAAAAACAAGGGGAAATAAATTACCTTGCATAATGACTTAGCCACTCCCAGTCTCCATTCAAGCCTAAGTTAATTGTATCCAATTTGCAAATGAATTCCAATTCAACAGTCTCTCGCTGGAGTCTGGTTCTGAAGTTTTTTTTGTTGTAATATCGCAACTTTCATGTCTGTAATCGCGTGACCAGAGAGACTGAAGTGTTCTCCGACTGGTTTATGAATGTTATAATTCTTGACATCTGATTTGTGTCCATTTATTCTTTTACATAGAGACTGTCCAGTTTGACCAATGTACATGGCAGAGGGGCATTGCTGGCACAGGGTGGCATATATCACATTGGTGGATGTGCAGGTGAACAAGCCTCTGAAAGTGTGGCTGAGGTTATTAGGCCCTGTGATGGTGTCCCCTGAATAGATATGTGGGCACAGTTGGCAATGGGCTTTGTTGCAAGGATAGGTTCCTGGGTTAGTGGTTCTGTTGTGTGGTATGTGGTTGCTGGTGAGTATTTGCTTCAGGTTGGGAGGCTGTCTGTAGGCAAGGACTGGCCTGTCTCCCAAGATTTGAGAGAGTGTTGGGTCATCCTTCAGGATAGGTTGTAGATCCTTAATAATGTGTTGGAGGGGTTTCTGTGCCTCCTTCTACATTGACCCCTACAGCATAGAAGATTTTTGAAAGACCTACTCTTTCCATAATCCAGCTCTCCTGAAGTCCACCTCTGCCTTATTGCCTTTGGGAAATTTTATAACAATGACAACCCAGAGAAATAATTTGGAATAGTTTCATCTGTCCTACTTAAGTTAACAAAAAAAAAATATTTATTTATTTTTAACTGAACTTACAGTATACCCCTTTTTTCCTGCCTTCTGCATGTTTGTCTGTCTTTAGAATTTGAGCTCTTTAAAACAGGAAAGCACCAAGTGCACTGTGAATACTATCATAAATAATAACACTACCAACAACTCCCCCTCCTCCTCTTTAGAAAGTAGTGAGACAGGTTAAGAATCTTGCCATCATTTTCAACAATGCCCTTTCTGTACAAACCAGTGGTTCAAAATTGTTTTTTTCCCCCAAGTGCACAGACCATTATTTAGCCTGTGATGATTTGACAAGAGCATGCCATCCAGAGGGGCACACCAAGCACTTCCATCAGGGGGAGAATGCTTAGTAGAGAATAACCACGGTAAGAACATTTTGTTGCTTTGTAAATTTGGGGCATAACAAATGACAACACCATCTAGCCAAATTCTTAATCAAATAGAAAAGTCTGCTCAGCAGTTCCAGGAGTTCCACCTTAATCCATCTGGTTATATACCAATAGCAAAAATAACTTACTAAACTAATTATATTTATCTGCTAAGCTGTTTCCTCCAGAATCTATTGTTTCCACATCCTCTTGCCCTGAAAAATACACAGAAACAGTCTATGTCTTTAATCTTTAAAGTGGGCACTAATAGAAATCTGGTCAATTAAAAAAAGATGAATTACAAGTATTTTAAGGTACCATGCTGAAACTGGCTGTGCTAATTTTTTAGTTTTATAAACCCATTTTCTTCATTTTTAAATGATTTTCGCTTGCTTTTTGCAATATGAAAGACTGACAAAACTAAAAGAGAAAACTAACTGGCCATACAGGGAAAACCGTGAAACTGACTATATTCAAAAGGTTGTTAAATGCACAAAGTTGGAAACTAATAAATTACTTTTCACCAGTCTCTTCCAGTTACCGTTATTTATGAGATTACTCACAATAGTAGGTAGAAGAAATCTGGATTGATGTAAACAAAAATTACTTTTATTGAGGTTTCTGTTTTAGCATTCCATCAGTGGTTATCAATCATCATCATCTGTCAACTGCAGAAATGAGCCCTCTCTCCCTCCAAGCTCCATCCTCTGTATTGTTAATCTCCATACAAGAGACAGATACAATCAGTGTCTTCATTTTACTTTTAAATCATAGGTTCTAGACTACACTCAGACCATTGTTCTTGGGACAGAGATTTCCAGGATGACAGGCTTATACATGAGACTTCTTGGACCAATTTTTTCCCACTCAACTTGAGAAATGCTTGTTGAATCAACTATGCTGAAAGACCTCCCAGCTAGAAAGACAAGGTGGGTGAAGTAATATCTTTTATTTGACCAACTTCACTTGGTGAAAGAGACAAGCTTTCAAGCTACACAAAGCTCTTCAGGTCAGTCAGAAACCATCTACAATTTATTTTATAGAAATCAGAGGGGGCGGGGGGTAGGAAAAAACAAGGGGAAATAGGTTACCTTGCATAATGACTTAGCCACTCCCAGTCTCTATTCAAGCCTAAGTTAATTGTATCCAATTTGCAAATGAATTCCAATTCAACAGTCTCTCGCTGGAGTCTTGTTCTGAAGTTTTTTTGTTGCAATATCGCAACTTTCATGTCTGTAATCGCGTGACCAGAGAGATTGAAGTGTTCTCCGACTGGTTTATGAATGTTATAATTCTTGACATCTGATTTGTGTCCATTTATTCTTTTACATAGAGACTGTCCAGTTTGACCAATGTACATGGCAGAGGGGCATTGCTGGCACATGATGGCATATATCACATTGGTGGATGTGCAGGTGAACGAGCCTCTGATAGTGTGGCTGATTTCCTGCATCAAGTTGCCCATGCCGGTTTTCCCTCTGCTCAGTTTCTTGTCCACTCTAGTGCAATGGTGAATTACAGTTTAGCCCTCAAGCAACAGCCTAGGAAAACACCTCCCCTTTCAGCATAACACAAGAGTCCAAACAAAAACACATGTCCAAAACTTCAAAGAAACAAGTCCTTCAGCCCTAGGCTTAAACAATAGCCCCACCAGTGTCTGTCCTGGTCTCCCCCTGTTGATGCCATAACTAAAAGGGCACCTTCTCCAGAAATTCGGGCAAGGCTGTAAGTAAGAACCAGTAACAACGAGTCTCCAGCCCACACCAGAATCATATTGTCCCCGGCCTTTTTATTTCATCCCTCCCCAGAACTTCCATGTATTACATGCCTCTTTACATGCCTTTTTCACAGCTCTTCATGGGCTGATAGCTTCCCTGCTTTTCTTGGCAAAGAGTCCCACACCATGTCTAACCTCTCTCTCCAGAGTGCTTCTCCAGCAAGCAAGTTCTGATGTCCACAATTCAAGAAAGATGTTGATAATTGCACAGGGCTGAGAGTAGAGCCACAAGAAAGATTGGAAAACAGGCCTTACAGTGACAGACTCAAGAAATTCAATCCCTTTAACGTAAAGAGACAAAAGTGACTTGATCACAGTCCCTAAGCAACTACATGGGGAACAAAATTTTGATAATGGGCTTTTCAATCTAGCAAAGGTATAACAAGATTCATGGCTAGAAGTTGAAGCTAGATAAATTCACACTAGAAATAAGACACAAAATAGAAAATATCATTAACCACTAGAATGATTTACCAAGGATTGTGGTGGATTCTCCATCACTGGCAATTTTTAAAATCAAGATTGGATTTTTTTTCTAAAAGACATGCTCTTGTTCAAACACAAATTAATTCAGGGAAGTCCTATGGTCTGTGTTATAGAGGTAAGACAAAATAATCACAATGGTCCCTTCTGGCTTTATAATCTATTAAAAAAATAAGCAGCTGTTCTTCAACTCTGAGAAACGTACCCTAAACAAAATCTCTGAACATTGCAGTTCACCTAGCATTAACTTTGCTATTACATTGCTTTCAAACTATAACAGAAAAATGTGTCCACAAATTAGAGTTAAAGGGCAAGAAGTCTGATATGTTGTTTGGAAGATGCATGTGATCACCCAGGTTTGGGCTTGTTGTCAACCCTTGCTCTATGTTTTAGGCATAAATACAATATACTTTGTGGTTAGAGGATCTTTGTAAATTTCATTTCTCTTTCCCCCACTTCTCTTACCCCAAAATAATTATTGTTAACACTGAGAAATTATGCAGTTTTTTTCCAAAGTGTTACTGAGTTGTAATTCACATTTTATACACTTACTAACATTTTAACTTTCTTGCCTCCTATTGGTCTTAGAATCATAGAATATCAGGGTTGGAAGGGACCCCTGAAGGTCATCTAGTCCAACCCCCTGCTCAAAGCAGGACCAATTCCCAGTTAAATCATCCCAGCCAGGGCTTTGTCAAGCCTAACCTTAAAAACCTCTAAGGAAGGAGATTCTACCACCTCCCTAGGTAACGCATTCCAGTGTTTCACCACCCTCTTAGTGAAAAAGTTTTTCCTAATATCCAATCTAAACCTCCCCCACTGCAACTTGAGGTCTTCAGGTACTGTATTGGGCTAGGTAAAGAATTGTCAGTTTTAAAAAAAAAAAATCATATGAATTAAACAAAACTAGATCATAGTGTCAATGTTAGAGCACAATGAATTACTTCAAACATATGTGAAGAAGCTACACTAAATTCTATAAGTTATTAGAAAGTACTTAAAATATTTACTTCTTTATGTGTATATAGTGGTCACTCTTGAAAGGCTTCTTCCATTCTAAAAGAGAGTTTGAGAGATATTCCCTAAATATAAATGGGGAGTATCATTAGAACTGGGAATCTCTCTCAAAACTAGAGAAGCTTATATATTTCTTCTTTTGGGGTTAATTTTATAAGCATATGTAATTATAAACTCCAGCACAGTTTTCAAGTTTAAACTTACAAGATTTCCATCCAGATTTTTCAGCTGTTGATTAATCTCTTTAAGTCGGTTTTGTTGCTCACGTTGCTCACGTGCGTCTTGCAGGACCTTCTCACCTGGAACTGCTTCCAGACTTCTATTTGCATAAGCCAGAGATTCCTGACAAAAGAAAGAGTGGACACGGCTAAAACATCTTAAAATATATGCTTTAAAGCAGAAAAAAAGCTAATTAGATCTTTACAGAAAAAAGTGAGAGAACACGAATATTTATGCATAATTGGTTAGTTTCACATTTTGGTCAATGTATGTTAATAGTATTTAAATATTGAACAGGATTTTTTCCACAGAGTATTAACTAACTCTGTTCAAACTTGTAAAGGAGAAGAACAAACATTCATATTCAAGATTTCCATTCTAAGAGTTTTTCTATAAAAATATTTAACAGTGGAGGGAGGACTTTTCAACAGCCCACAGCAGTGGTCTAAGTCCAGTTGACTTCAGTGGGACCAGTCAGGGCCAGCCAATGCGGAGTACTTTTCAAAATCTCACTTAAAATGTTTCTCTCCGATATGAAGCCTGAGGAAACAGCCTTTGCACAGTGGATCTATGTGCGGACATGAGACACAAAACCCATTCTCTAACCCATAGCCAAGCGGCACACATGCAGCTGGACTGCAACCACTACTACAGAGCAGAGCTGAACAATTTTACAAATATTCCGTAGCCTGGGACCAGATTCTAACATTCTTACACACAGGGAGTATGACCTTAATTACGGAAATCAACTGGACTATTTGCGGGATTAAGGGAATATTCAATGTGAGAAAGACCAGAATGGAATCTACCCAACTGGGAATGCTAAATATTGACAAAATTGCAAATCTACAATTGACAAAAACAGGGTTTACCTTTGGCAACCAAGGATTTAATATAAGAATCCAAGTCATAGAGTAGTCAAAGTAACAGCAAAAAAATTTGCCAAACTCTAATTACCTTTAACCCAAGAGAGTATGCCGAACTATTTAAATAAAATCCTAGTCGAATTAATCACTCTTATTTTCAAAGCAACTCATCTACAACCTATCCTAAAGGATGACCCAACACTCTCACAAGTCTTGGGAGACAGGCCAGTCCTTGCCTACAGACAGCCCCGCAACCTGAAGCAAATACTCACCAACAACCACATACCACACAACAGAACCACTAACCCAGGAACTTATCCTTGCAACAAAGCCCGTTGCCAATTGTGCCCACATATCTATTCAGGGGACACCATCACAGGGCCTAATAACATCAGCCACACTATCAGAGGCTCGTTCACCTGCACATCCACCAATGTGATATATGCCATCATGTGCCAGCAATGCCCCTCTGCCATGTACATTGGTCAAACTGGACAGTCTCTACGTAAAAGAATAAATGGACACAAATCAGATGTCAAGAATTATAACATTCATAAACCAGTCGGAGAACACTTCAATCTCTCTGGTCACGCAATCACAGACATGAAGGTCGCTATCTTAAAACAAAAAAACTTCAAATCCAGACTCCAGCGAGAAACTGCTGAATTGGAATTCATTTGCAAATTGGATACTATTAATTTAGGCTTAAATAGAGACTGGGAGTGGCTAAGTCATTATGCAAGGTAGCCTGTTTCTTCTTGTTTTTTCCTACCCCCCCTCCAGATGTTCTGGTTTAACTTGGATTTAAACTTGGAGAGTGGTCAGTTTAGATGAGCTATTACCAGCAGGAGAGTGAGTTTGTGTGTGTATGGGGGTGGGGGATGTGAGAAAACCTTGATCTATGCAGGAAATAGCCCGACTTGATTATGCAAAGAGTTGTCACTTTGGATGGGCTAGCACCAGCAGGAGTAATTTGTGTGGGGGTGGCGGGTGAAAAACCTGGATTTGTGCTGAAATGGCCCACCTGTTGATCACTTTAGATAAGCTATTACCAGCAGGACAGTGGGGTGGGAGGAGGTATTGTTTCATATTCTCTGTGTGTATATAAAGTCTGCTGCAGTTTCCACGGTAAACATCTGATGAAGTGAGCTGTAGCTCACGAAAGCTCATGCTCAAATAAATTGGTTAGTCTCTAAGGTGCCACAAGTACTCCTTTTCTTTTTGCGAATACAGACTAACACGGCTGTTCCTCTGAAACCTGTCATTATGCAAGGCACTGCATTTAGCCGTATGGAGTGGAAATCTATCAACTGCATGAAGAAACTTGTACAGATACAGACAGACATCATCTTCCTTTCCAAATGCAAACAGATGGACATCGTACCAAAAGGACTGAAGGTCAAAAATCCATTACAATCTACATACCACACAGACTATGCTGACAGCTTGTGCCTCACGCTCTCAAAGAAACTGCGGAATCACCTGATCAAGATCCTCTACAGCAAACAGGGAAAGATTAAGAATGAGCTCTCAAAAATGGATACTCTCATAAAGAACCAACCTTCCACACAAACTTCCTCGTGGCTGGATTTTACTAAAACTAGACAAGCCATTTACAACGCACACTTTGCTTCTCTACAAAAGAAAAAAGACAGTAAACTTTCTAAACTACTACATGCTACAAGGGGCCACAGCAATGGTTCCCTCACCCCACCTAGCAATATTGTTAACCTATCCAACTATACTCTCAGCCCAGCAGAAGCAGCTGTTCTATCTCGGGCCTCTCCTTCTGCCCCTCCACCCCCACGAACATGATACAGTTCTGTGGTGACCTAGAATCCTATTTTCGACGTCTCCGTCTCAAGGAATATTTCCAAAATACCTCTGAACAACATACTAATCCACAGAGGTCTCCCTGCCAACACTACAGAAAGAGGGATTCTAGATGGACTCCTCCTGAAGGTCGAAACAGCAGACTGGACTTCTACATAGAGTGCTTCCGCCGACTGCACGGGCTGAAATTGTGGAAAAGCAGCATCACTTGCCCCATAACCTCAGCCATGCGGAACGCAATGCCATCCACAGCCTCAGAAACAACTCTGACATCATAATCAAAAAGGCTGACAAAGGAGGTGCTGTTGTCATCATGAATAGGTCGGAATATGAACAAGAGGCTGCTCGGCAGCTCTCCAACACGAGTTTCTACAAGCCATTACCCTATGATCCCACTGAGAGTTACCAAAAGCAACTACAGCATTTGCTCAAGAAACTTCCTGAAAAAGCACAAGATCAAATCCGCACAGACACACCCCTGGAACCCCGACCTGGGATATTCTATCTACTACCCAAGATCCATAAACCTGGAAATCCTGGGCGCCCCATCATCTCAGGCATTGGCACCCTGACAGCAGGATTGTCTGGCTATGTAGACTCCCTCCTCGGCCCTACGCTACCAGCACTCCCAGCTACCTTCGAGACACCACTGACTTCCTGAGGAAACTTCAATCCATCGGTGATCTTCCTGATAACACCATCCTGGCTACTATGGATGTAGAAGCCCTCTACACCAACATTCCACACAAAGATGGACTACAAGCCGTCAAGAACACTATCCCCGATAATGTCACGGCTAACCTGGTGGCTGAACTTTGTGACTTTGTCCTTACCCATAACTATTTCACATTTGGGGACAATGTATACCTTCAGATCAGCGGCACTGCTATGGGTACCCGCATGGCCCCACAGTATGCCAACATTTTTATGGCTGATTTAGAACAACGCTTCCTCAGCTCTCGTCCCCTAAAGCCCCTACTCTACTTGCGCTATATTGATGACATCTTCATCATCTGGACCCATGGAAAAGAAGCCCTTGAGGAATTCCACCACGATTTCAACAATTTCCATCCCACCACCAACCTCAGCCTGGTCCAGTCCACACAAGAGATCCACTTCCTGGACACTACAGTGCTAATTAACAATGGCCACATAAACACCACCCTATACCGGAAACCTACTGACCCTATTCCTACCTGCATGCCTCCAGCTTTCACCCTGACCACACCACACGATCCATCGTCTACAGCCAAGCTCTGCGATACAACCGCATTTGCTCCAACCCCTCAGACAGAGACAAACACCTACAAGATCTCTGTCAAGCTTTCTTACAACTACAATACCCACCTGCAGAAGTAAAGAAACAGATTGATAGAGCCAGAAGAGTTCCCAGAAGTTACCTACTACAGGACAGGCCTAACAAAGAAAATAACAGAACGCCACTAGCGGTCACCTTCAGCCCCCAACTAAAACCCCTCCAACGCATTATTAAGGATCTACAACCTATCCTAAAGGATGACCCAACACTCTCACAAGTCTTGGGAGACAGGCCAGTCCTTGCCTACAGACAGCCCCCAACCTGAAGCAAATACTCACCAACAACCACATACCACACAACAGAACCACTAACCCAGGAACTTATCCTTGCAACAAAGCCCGTTGCCAATTGTGCCCACATATCTATTCAGGGGACACCATCACAGGGCCTAATAACATCAGCCACACTATCAGAGGCTCGTTCACCTGCACATCCACCAATGTGATATATGCCATCATGTGCCAGCAATGCCCCTCTGCCATGTACATTGGTCAAACTGGACAGTCTCTACGTAAAAGAATAAATGGACACAAATCAGATGTCAAGAATTATAACATTCATAAACCAGTCAGAGAACACTTCAATCTCTCTGGTCACGCAATCACAGACATGAAGGTCGCTATCTTAAAACAAAAAAACTTCAAATCCAGACTCCAGCGAGAAACTGCTGAATTGGAATTCATTTGCAAATTGGATACTATTAATTTAGGCTTAAATAGAGACTGGGAGTGGCTAAGTCATTATGCAAGGTAGCCTGTTTCTTCTTGTTTTTTCCTACCCCCCCCCCCTCCAGATGTTCTGGTTTAACTTGGATTTAAACTTGGAGAGTGGTCAGTTTAGATGAGCTATTACCAGCAGGAGAGTGAGTTTGTGTGTGTATGGGGGTGGGGGGGATGTGAGAAAACCTTGATCTATGCAGGAAATAGCCCGACTTGATTATGCAAAGAGTTGTCACTTTGGATGGGCTAGCACCAGCAGGAGAGTGAATTTGTGTGGGGGGTGGCGGGTGAGAAAACCTGGATTTGTGCTGGAAATGGCCCACCTGTTGATCACTTTAGATAAGCTATTACCAGCAGGACAGTGGGGTGGGAGGAGGTATTGTTTCA